ATGCTCTGGCCCTGAACCCCATCCCCTGCCCTGTCCTACCACTTTGACCAAACTCAACCTTTGGGGTCTCCAGGGATTCTGGGATGTGGTTTCTCCTTAAACCTTTCTTTGGCCCATTTTGCATTCTACACTGAGCCAGAGCTGGAAGATGAAGCATTTATCCCTATTTACTAGAGCTTTATCAGGAGAATAGTGTAGATATTTTAAAACATGGAATTGGGGAACTGCTTTGAAGACTTTGTGATTTATGGCCTTGGCCTTCTCCAAGTTTTCAGGTGAGGGCAGTAACTCCTGCTTGAGCAGGGTGTGTGTTCGATGAAGGAGATGGGTGATGTGTGCCCATATGGGACCCCTCTTTGTTCCAGTAGAAGCTCTGGCACAGATGTTATTGGGAAGTACCACTGACTTTGGGTTAGAGGAGGGACACAGGGAAAAAAAGCAGAAAGAGCCTGGGAAAGTGCTAGAAAACTCCCAGAATATCAGCTCCAGGAGTACTGACCCTGTCTATTTACACCAAACTCCAGGCAAATGAAGACCCCAGTGACAGCACGGAGACAGAGGAGGACCTGACCTCTGATGATGGTCACTATGTTTCTGGATCAGATGGTGGTCTCTCTAGGAGTGCAGGGAAAGAAGAAGATGATAAAGAAGATGATGAGGATGACAGTGGAGATGACACCTTTGGTGATGAGGACAATGGCTTGGGGCCCAAAGAGGGTCAAGAAGGTGGCATCTCCAGACTGGGCAGTGAGAAGGATTCTGCTGGTACCACACAGTCAAGGGAAGACAGTGCCTCCCGAGAGGACAGCATCCAATATCCAGCCAGTGACAGCAGGGACCTTGATGGTGAGGATAGGGTGGACAGTGAGAGTGAGGAGCACTGGGTGGGAGGTGGCAGAGAGGGGGACAGCAGCCATGGGGATGCCTCAGAGTTCCATGATGATGGAATGCAGAGTGATGACCCAGACAGCACTAGGAGCGAGGGAGGCAGCTCCAGAATGGACAATGTCAGTGTAAAATCCAAGGAGTTCCAAGGGGACAGCAAGAAGGAAGGCACTGAGGACTCAGGTGACAAACAGTCAGCGGAGTCTCCCAGTAGGAAGTTTTTCAGAAAGTCTCGAATTTCTCAGGAAGATGACAGAGGTGACCTGGAGGATAGTGACACAATGGAAGACCTCAAGAGTGGTTCCACAGAGAGCACCAACTCCCAAGAAGATAGCCCAGATCAGTCTAGGGAAGATAGCAAGAGTGACTCTCAAGTGGATAGCAGTGAGAGCCAGTCCCAGGAGGATGGTGAGTACCTGCAGGAGCCCAGCAGTGAGTCCAGTCAGGAGGTGGACCTACCATCCCAGGAGAGTAGTAGTGAGTCCCAGGAGGGTGTGGTGGGTGAGTCCAGGGGTGACAATCCAGATGCTACCAGCCAGGAAGACAGTGATTCCAGTGAGGAGGACAGCTTGAATACCTTCTCCAGCTCAGAGAGTGAATCCAGAGAGCAGCAAGCAGACAGCGAGTCCAATGAGAGCCTCAGGTTCTCAGAAGAAAGTCAGGAATCCCCTGAGGATGACAACAGCTCCAGCCAGGAGGGCCTGCAGTCCCAGAGCAGGTCCACAGAGAGCCACAGCCAGGAGAGCCACTCTGGGGAAGACACTAACAGTGATTCTCAGGACAGCAGCCAGTCAAAAGAAGATAGCAACTCCACAGAGAGCACATCCAGCAGTGAGGAGAATGGCCAGCCCAAAAACATGGAGGTTGAAAACAGAAAACTGACAGTGGACTCATTTCACAACAAACCCATTGGGGACCAAGATGACAATGACTGCCAGGATGGCTACTAGCATCTGCTGTCCTAAGATGTGGCTCTCACAGAAAGAGATCCTGGGCTTTGAGAATAGGGAAATCACCGTAACTGTAATTTATTGATATTTTAATCAGAAATACCAGTCATTACTTTTTGAAAGAATTTGCTAAACATCACAGTGGTTTCAAGAGTGGCACTGTTCCATAGAAGTTCAAATAACATAGAGTGACACCAGGACACACTCAATGAGCTTGGAAGCCAGGAGAGATGTGCTCACAGCTCTGCACCTGAAATGACTTTGAGCTCATTAACCCAACAGATGGTTACTGGGGTTCTGTGATGCACCAGACACTGTATGAGATGCTAGGGATACAGCAAAGTTTCAGACTCACTTCTTGCTCCTGAAGAGCTTCTAGAGAGATGCAGAGAGTTAAAGAGGGGTGTATAGGAGGGCAACAGGAATTGTCATGTGGTGAAGGCCATTGGGGAGATATGAACAAAGCATATGGGAGCACAGAAAGAGGTGACCAACTTTGCCTAGAGAGTTAGTGAAATGCAGTGGAGAAACCACTGGAGTCGGAGGGTAGTGTAGGATTTCTCCTTGAAAACAAGACAATTCTATTTACTCTGGGGATTAAATAATAGTAAATCTTATGTGTGTGATTAAATATTTAGTTTATAAAGGCACTTTCAAACTGGCACAATGAGGTGTTTTGGTTGAAAAAAAAACCTTTTTTTTTCAACTAATTTATCTTACTCAGTGTTTTTTTATGGGACTCCCATGACCACACTCTGATTGGTGCTGGTAGGAGGACTAGGGAGGAGAGAGCAGGGAACCAAATTCCCCTTTACCCACAAAAATTTTAGCATCATTTTTTTTCTAAAATCAGTTTATGTGCAATGCTAGAAAATAATGTTCTCTGGGTTCTCTTCGTACATTGCAAAATTCTGTATATAAGATTCAATTGATTTTTGTTAAATACCATTTGAAATGTTACCTCAACATAAAATATTTGTTTTATAATAAAGATAATAATACCCAGAAGAAATCTGTGCTTATTTGTTATAGTGGTATTGATTATTAGGCTATATTTATGATAAATAACTCTTTCTTTAAAACATTATTAAATAGTTCATTAGCTTTCTCCCATCAAAATGAAAGATATCCTTAAATTATTTCATAGAAATATTATTTGTAATTCAAGCAGCATTTTGTTTGTTTTGGTACCAGGGATCGAACTCAGGACATTGTGCTTATGAGGGAGGTGGTGGAACCACTGGGCTAAATCCCTGGCCCCGTCAAGTAGCATTTTGAAAAAATTACCTTACATATTCCTTGTGATATTTCACTAAATATGCCTGTTATGGGTGAGAAAAAAATTAACATCAATAATTTGTGATATTTGAATTTAACACTAGTTTTTGCTGGTCTCAGATTCATTGGTGTATACCTGGAAGCTACAGGAAAGCATATTCCTCATATTTTTATTTCTATGAAGGACTCTACTTCACCTCATCAGTTTTTTACAAATGTACTTTTACCCTTACTTCCACTAGGGCACATCAGAATTCTCCCACAATTTTGTTGAGAGAATCACAAAGACTTCCTAGGCCTCAGTCTGACCCTTCTAAGCCCTCATCTGGCTCTGCTTCCTCACAAGGTCAGAGCTCTTTTCACTGGAGATTTTAAAAAAGTGTGTGTGTGTGTGTGTGTGTGTGTGTGTGTGTGTGTGTCTAACCTTCCTTTCTGAGATTTTAATTTAGTAGTAGATCTGGGGTAAGACCCAGAATTCTGTATTTTTAGTAGGATTTCAGGAGGCTCTGATGGAGCCCATCTGTGTACCTGCAGTTTAATTCCATGGGTCCTTGTGTTACTTGCCTGGTTCTACTAATCTCTAGGTTTCTGCCAACCCATACCTCTTTTATGAAGTGAACTGCCCGTGTTTGGACCTCTTGGAACACAGGAATCCAGATTCTAATCACACAGATGTCCCATCTCACAGGAGAGTGGCTGAGACCAACACTGGATCCAGGGCAGTCACTATGGTCTGGCCGGCAAGAGCCAGGGAGGCACATCACTAAGGCTCTGTCTGAATATGAGCCATGATGGCTGGAGGTCCAATATGACCCTTCCTTTCTGGAAATGTAGACATTTAGGAAAAGAGAGGGCTGAAGTGTTAGAACAAGAATAGAAATGAATATACAGAAAGGCAGACATGGAGAGAGGGCTACACTCATTATGTGAAGCACTGAGGAGCAAAGTGATAATCTTCTTGCCCCATGCTTGAATCCTGACTCTCCTATTGCCTACCAGGCCTTCCAGATTCTTGTGATGTTTCTTTCCCTCAAGTGTCACCATGTCTCCACAATACACCCACCCAAGCTGAGATAACCTAAGTGAGTCTTCCATCTTTGCAACCAAAATCTAATGAATCCAGACTCATGTAGTCTGTTTCTAAGTCTTATAACTCCTTAACCAAGTTAACTCACAACTTTTAAAAGGGAACAATAATAAGAATCTCAGCCATGTTCATGACAGAAATCCTGTAAGTAAGAGGTAAGAGGGTGGGTTTTCTTTTAAGTTTCATCAAGCCATTTTATTACCAGGTGTAGACACTGATGCAGCTTGCAAATAAATGAAAGTGGTCTAGAAATGTGGCTTAAAAGCTAGCTGAACTTGGTCTTCAGTTTTAAATATTCAGAAATTTCTTCCTGCAGCTTCTCATTGAAGTAAGTCTATACTAGATGGGTCCATTTGGACAGACAAGTCATAACCAGTAAACAATTTTTAAAATTATAACAAGAAAAAATAAGAATGAAAGGCTATATGAGTAGCACAATGGAACCGAGGGAACCATGCAACGTGAATACTTAATAGCACTGGACCTAAATAAATGACATATCTATAATTCTCCATGAGAAACCTTACAGATGGAACAGAAACAGCAGAAGCCTGGCTCCCTCTCCCCTGGGAAGTGCTCTAAAGTGCCATGATTAGTGGTCCTTATTTTCCTAAACTTACCAGGGGTGAACCTTGGTTCATTCATACAAGAATGAATGAAATCTGACCTATATGTCACCTATAACAGAGACAAAAGGTACTCATTGTAATTGATGACCAGAGTGGGGATATGGCTGGAATTGAACTTCTTCATGCAGGGAAGACATTAGGCTGTGAAGGAATGGGGAGGTGTGGGGCAAGTGAGATAGATCAAAACGAGAGCTAACACTAAGAAGAAGGAACACAGAAGTGAATTACAGGATTGCTTATGACATGTTAAGGTCTCATTTAAATAATATGGCACCACTGAAGGATTGGGAAGAGAGGAAGGAGGAGAGGAATAATAAGAGAAAAGACTGAAAATATGGGTTGGAATCCAGTGTGAAGGCCTCTGAATGCCAGAATAAGAGGGCTGATCTTTGTTTTACTGAGTGCTTCTCACATACGATATACACAGCATAAATGTCTTTAAGATAGATCCTATAAACTTTCCATGACTTTTAAATACATTTACAAAAAATAAAGTAGAGGAAATAAAACACAGGAGAGATAAGTTAAACATCCTAGTTCAAAATCCAAGAAATGGTCGAGACTGGATTCCACTTCAGCTCAATGATGAGCCACTGAAAGTATTAAGCATTGGAGTAGCACTCACAAATAGGCCCTTATCATCTCAAAATATAAGTCAGGGAAATGCTGTATTCTCTCCTTGCTCTCAACACCTAAAACCCCTCAAAGCCTCTCTAACAGCTTGTATTCCTAGTGTCATTATTTTGAGTTAATCATATATAGTGGAGGAATAAATTTGTTCTTACTTCTGCCAAAGTTTCCCCAGAAAGACATATATCAGAGTGCCAAAGATTACCACTGAAGGTTTAAAAAAATGCCATAATGATGTTGGAAAAGTGCTAGTGAACAGATACCCCCCGAAAGGAAGTCTGTGCTGAAGTTCTTAACAAATATGACTTAATGTGCAGTGACCTCACTCATCCCTGAAACTACTGGCACTGCCACACAGCACTCGACACTGTGGCTGGAACTAATGGTCTTCCAGTAATAATTCCACATGCTGCCAATTACACAAGTAAAGCCAACTCCCCTAGAAAGCTGACCACCACTGTCACTGCTGCTGGGGATGGTTCTCCATGTCCTCTGCTTCATTGTATAACTAGTTCTTAATTCTGAATTCAAAGCAGAGCCTATACTAATTGTCTAGGTTCTAGTTGCAAGGAAACCTAGAAAGAAAGTATCTTGCATTTTTGGCTCTTTATCCCAAGGCACATTTTGTTTCTCACCCAAACACATAAAGGTGTATATATCATATATAAGAACAAGGTTCAAGTGCTGCATGAGCAAAAAGATCGAAAAAGTTCCGTAAAAAAGTTTCATGTCAGAAGGAGGAGCAGAATTAATGCCATGAGGATGACCAAGTCCACTTTCATGGCTGAGTGTGATTCACGTCGATGAAGATGGAAACCTAACATTAACATCCAGGGGAAGCATGGGTCCTCACTGGGGATGTAGGAGTTTACAAACACAAGCAAACTATCATGAATTGCAGAGTCGTGCACAAGGTGTTTCAACTTAGGCCACAGCACCAGGAATTCCACTGATGGACCCCAGCCACAAAGATCAATTCCTCAATGTTTACCTTTTCTAGGTTGCAGTGGGAGATAGAAGTATATGTAATCTTACACATAGTCAAAAATTATCTCTAAAATTAACCTTTGTGGGAGAAAGCATCCCAAATCCCCTAAAGTTATCCTCAAAATTATTGGTATTATAATGGTAGAGAATCCGTGATTTTCATTAGATTCTCAAAAGAGTTCATGAGTAAGCTGCTTGGATCCATTCAATTAAATAAAAGAATGACAGTGATGACCATAAGAGCTTTTCAGGTTTTGTTCAGAGAAGATCCAAGTCACTGCCAAGGGATACGGTTGAGAGAATAGTATGACACATATCTCACACATCAGTTGCTCTCGTTAGTAGATGAAGCTATGTCCATTGGAAGATAGTGGTTCATAAAAGATATTTTTTTATCGAATGAATACAAATTGTCTCCCATTCCCAGTCTCCTGTCCCGTGTCTTAGCATGAGAAGCCCTTGCTTTCAGCTGGAACCTTGGCTCCCAGATGGAGACTCCTTTACCCATCCTTCAATGGAGCTGGGTGCACAAGGCTCTGTCCCTGCAATGGAATGTGAGGAGAAGTTATCTTTGCCTTTCTTTCCAACCCTGTCATGGAAATTGGCAACTATTAAAATGATCTCCTTGTACCAAGAGGCACCCTCCTCTTCATTGTTCCATGAGAAAGAAATTGATGTCAGTCTTATTTAATACACTATATTTTGGGATATCCAATTACAGCAGCTTCATCTGTGTCCTCACCAATATATGCATATATGTGTATGCTTAGAGAGTGTGTAAATATAATTTTAATTACATAGTATTTTAGGTTTCTCAATTTAAATAGTAAATTTCCTTTTTTTAATAATTGAAGAAAGAGAGTTCTTTAATTGTGGTCCCATAATATCTTTAGGCATGATCAATAGCCTTTAGTACTGTTTAGACAAAATTAGTTTTAGACTGTGAATTACCAATATGGCATAGAAAAATAATTGTAGAAAATTAATTAAAAAGATTCAATGAAAATCAATGAAATACTTAGCATTTGGAAATATGCTTAATAAAGAGAATGTTTCAGCATGTAAGCTACTCTATAGGAATGTGTAGAAATTACATCATTTCATGAAACTGCTAGATGTCATTTGGTAAATTACTCCATCAAGGACTAAAATTATTGGTTTGAAATTCAAATAAAAATACTGATTGTTCAAATACAGCTAGCAAATTTCACTGCTGTGAATTAATGTAGTGAAAATGAAACAAGAATGAAAATCTGCTTCTATTGCACTGAAATCTAACAGTGGTGCTTTTAAGCACTGGCTGCACATCACCTGAGGAGCTTTTTAAAAAGTTTTGTTACCCTG